CCCATTTAGATCTGTTTCATAGGACATTACTACTGTTGGTGTTTTCCTAAACTGTGTCTGTTGTTTTAGGCAGAGGAGTTGCGGCAGAGACTCCGAGAATTAGAAGAGAGAGAAAGAAGAGAGGGGAAAAAAATGGCTGACGAGGAAGCTCTGAGAAAGATTCGCTCCGTGGAAGAGCAAATTGACATTCTTAATAAGAAACTCTCCATCGCTAAACAGGTAAGGTTGTCCTTTGTACAGTATGTGTCCTTGTGCTGCCTCCTCACAATCTGGCTCTTAAGGAGGAGGATGCCTTGTTGAGTGAGATGGACGTGACAGGCCAGGCGTTTGAGGACATGCAGGAGCAGAACATTCGACTGATGCAACAGCTCAGGGAGAAAGATGACGCCAACTTTAAATTGATGAGTGAGCGCATTAAATCAAACCAGATCCATAAACTTTTAAAGGAGGAGAAGGAGGAGCTGGCTGATCAGCTGCTCACCTTAAAAACTCAGGTACCGAACCCAACACATACAGATACAAGAATAAAGAATGGTAACATACAGCATTAAATAGTTTTATCTAAATATGTTAAATGACCACAGGTTGATGCACAATTGCAAGTTGTTAGAAAGCTTGAGGAAAAGGAGCGCCTTCTACAGGGCACTATCAGTACTGCAGAAAGAGAGTTGGCACTGAGGACACAAGCTTTGGAAATGAATAAACGCAAGGTACAAACTGTTAAATCAATATAAATAAATAGATTCATCAGAGAAATAATAATTAATTCTTCCTTCAGGCCCAGGAATCTACATTACTGTCAGAGGAGATGCGTGCTCAACTAGAGCAGGTTCAACAGAAGCTGACTGTGGTCCGAGAGGAGGTGGTGGAGAACAGCATCTCGAGAGAAAAAGAATCTTTCAACGCCCGGAGAGCACAGGTAATGCCCTCAACAGAGCAGTGTTTTCACAGTTACACACTTTATGCATCTAATTAACACGTGTTGCATACAATCTTCAGGAGGATATTTCCAAACTAAGAAGAAAAATTGAAAAGGCCAAGAAACCAGCTGAGAAGATCAGTAATGGAGATGATATCTTAAATGAAGAAATTAATGAGTATAAGGTGGGTTTGCCAAGTATGAAGATCCACATACAGAATGTATTTCCTGGGTTGAAATTAGTACTTGTTTGAACACAGTTATTGTTTGATCCACATTCCTCCATTTGGTTTTATCAGTAGTGACAGAGGGGCTTGAGAGCCAATCTCTTGCGTCACATGACATTTGTGCTGCTCTAGATATTTGTATTCACAAAGAGCTACTCAGGACAGCCACATAACCCCACATCTCTGTCTGCCCCAGGCACGTCTAACTTGTCCATGCTGCAACTCGCGAGTGAAGGACGCTGTTCTGACCAAGTGCTTTCATGTCTTCTGCTTCGAGTGCGTTAAAACTCGATATGACACCCGGCAGAGGAAATGCCCCAAGTGCAACGCAGCCTTCGGAGCCAATGACTTCCATCGGATTTACATTGGTTAGATGGACACAAAGTTTGACATTGATGTTAAGGAGTGTACAGGCACCTTTCCGCAGTCTACAGAAACTTTTTTTTAACCATTACTTAAGCTTGTGCATTCATATTGATATTGGTTGGACCATTGATTATAGTGAACATAGTTTGTATTACATCACATACATTGAGTGTGACATGTGAGATGTGATAGACTAAAGTCAAGATACAAAAACTACCGTGAACATAGACATTCCTCTTAACATGTTGTAATATTTGCATAAAGTATGTTGTACCCCTGTTGGTTTTACTTATTTGTCCCGCCAGATCATGTTGTTAGAATAAGCTGTGCAAACTTGACTTGATAAAGCCACTTTTTTGTGATTACATGACAATATTTGAATCCGTATCATTCTATTATTAAATAGACACCACGTTCTAGTGCGCAGATCTGTCTATCCTTTTATGTGGCGCTTTCCTCCTCCCCTTCTGCCTCCCACAAGATCCTGGCGGGTTTGTAAACTGGAAACAGTCGTTAGAAACGCTGGTAGGAAGGGAGTGCCATGCTCTTAGAGCGGCGAGAGATTTTATAGGCTCGTGCAATATAATCCATCGCTGTAGCGCGTCTGAGACAAAGGAACCCTACACTTCAATGTGACGAAGGGACTAAAAGCCGAAATAAGAAGCTTTAGCTGACTCGTGTTCAGATAAGCGTCACCGCGTCTCCGCCGTGAGATTTTTACGCGCAAACCTTTATTAAATGAAAAACAACTGAAGACGTCACTCTTTGACAAATTATATTTTTGTTACCGTTTGTAGCTGAAAATTCCTTTCAAAGCAAACATTTGTGGTTTGCTGGATGTAAGTTCTTATCTATTTCTTGCCAAATATAGACACCGCTAAACTGGTGTGCCCTTGGTGAGGGGGAACATTCCTGTTCTGGATATTTTTACGCAACAAGAAAGAGGTCTAAGGAACGTGTATTTTTTAATGCATGGTGAATTTCACGTTTTTTAGTTGTCTATTCCTAAACATTACGTTTTGTGGCATTTTTTTTAAACCTGCGTTATCTGCGGCATATGGATCTTAACACCGCTTTGTAGCACTTCGACTGTCGTGAACAGAAGCCATTTTAACAGTGATTTCAAGCTTGTGTGACTCATTGACACTGCCTGTTCAACCTGCTCCCAACCTGCGTTGCATAACCTGTCCACATTATATTCATCATATTAGCTCGTGAACCCTGTAAGGATGGCTTTTTGTGCGTTTGGCGGATGTGCCGTTCCTCGCCGCTTGCTCAGCACGGCCGTGTTCACGGTGCTTCTTTTGGCGGTGGGCTGGGCTGCAGCAGAGGAGCAGGCCGAGGCATCCGCCAAAAGCCCACCGGTCACACTCAGCACCGTGATTACCGGGACGTGCCATGAAATCCAGCACTACGTGGAGTCGTTGGTGGGCACCAGCGTCGTGCGCTCTGTCATTGAGGTAAACACTAAACAAATGCATCAATCCTTTGTGCAGATCCCCATTTGCTCTCTTTACAGTTCAGCTATTTTTAACCACCTTTTCTAAACTGTACTTAATGACTAATGTCTTAACGCTGCCCGTCTTAATTTTCGCTTTCTCACATATCCTTCTCCTATTTCATTTCATCTTGGTAATCTCCATTTTGATCCCCTCATTTCTCTGCCTAATGCACTCATACCCCTCTGCTCTGCATTCATTTCCCCCGCTCCCCCGCTCCTCTGCTCCTCTCTGCTCCTGTCTGCTCCTGTCTGCTCCTGTCTGCTCCTGTCTGCTCCTCTGCGGTGTCTGGATCCAGAGTGCAGTGTTGTTTCTTGAGTCATTGGTTGGGCAGGAGAACGTCTATACTCTGGCCATGGTAAGAAACCTATTCAAATGCAATTGAACCACGGGTCTGTTTAGAAGTAGTTTAGAAGCTGGTGCAAACTAGAACTACAAAATGACTATACTGTATACAGAAGCGGCCCATGTTTGACTTGTAACTATTTGCATGATCAGGATGTCTCCATATAAGGGTTTTTATCACAGTGTTGCAGATAACCAGCCATTTAAACAGGCCAAGATCTAAATAAAAGTTGTTATTCAAATCCGCTGCTAATTATAGCATGTTATGTTATTACCTCACATTGTAAAATATAGTAATTCTCTTAAGCAGTTTCTACAAAAGTTTTGCAAAGTTGGAACACTGTTACTGCAACAACTTATCTATATCATGTTTATAAGACAGATGCTCCCTGCCATTAGACAACATATGCTTGTTCTCGGTCCTCCCCATCTATGGTCCTGCCTCAATGTTCCAGTGTGTAGTGTAACAGGTGTAGATAAGACACTTGTCCTGAACACCGGGGCTATCCTTGACCCTGCCATACAGAGGTTAGACTGTGTGAGGCCACTGTGCTTTTTGTGGCAGTGTCTAAACAGTTGTCAATAAACGTACAGCTGTTTCTTCAACTCGGTGTAACATCACCTCACCAGACTGAATTGGGGAAATTACTTAAGACAAAGGAGCTTCTGTTATCTGGAGTGCCGGGACATAAGTTGTGCTCTTACACACATATATCATGTTATATACAGTTCTGTGCACATAGCAAGTTTCTAAACAAGAATATGAACTGAGAAACGTGTGATGCTGCAGAACCTGGATTCACTCGCCAAGGCACTATCCCTATGGGTTTGAGGCAAAGGGTTCCTTCCTCTTTTTGCAGAATTTGGCAACAGTCCTCCGTTACTATAGCAGTGTCCAATCAAATTATATATTTTGAATTGGGAAGGGTCCTTGTAAAATCCTTCAAATCAGGAGGGAATCATTTGCCTGAAATCCATGACGAATAATATGCAATGTTTTAAATGTCCTAATCTGATCTGAAATCTTTTTAATATAATAGAATATAATCTGCATTCTGTCAAAACATTATAATTTAGTCCTTTGTTTACTTTAGACTTCCTGCAATTTCATAACAAAGTATTAATTTGCACCTCACTTAATCTGCTGCACACTTCTATATATCCTGCTTTGAATGGAGTGTTAGAATGCTGTTTTTCTTCATTGTTACCTTCTGATCATGTTAAATATGTCACCACCCTTCCTGTGTAGTTTCTAGAGACCGTGATCCGATTCCTGGCTGAAGGAGCTGCCAGTGGCCTAAACGTCATTGCTGTTTATGTCACAGAAATCCTCAGGGTCACAGGATTTGATGGTGGGTACACTTTGTGAAAAAAGTAGGACATTTTCAGTTGTGTTTTGTTGCATTTGGTTACAACATTCAGGAGTATATGAGCAAAAGTTTCATTGCAAAATGGGTAAAATGCATTATCATCACATGAAACAAAATATGAACATTTTAAAAATAAAAATACAGTAAATAACAATTTCACATTTAGGTGCAAGTTATATTTAGTTTTTTTCTGTCATTTTACTTGAACACAATGTTGACTTGTAAAAACAAAGCAATTTCAGTTTAAATGTAGGTGAAATTGAATAGTGCCTATTTGAGGAATACACAACATAGTTATTACAAAAGACATGTTTTGTGTTTAATGACCGAGAACCTTTCCTCATTTTGACAGCCTTTAATTTGACTATCATTGCTGTATAGTGCGCTGTGCATTTGAGTACAATACCATTAAAGGGAAAGTTCAGGTGAAAACATGCCGATGTGCCTCTCCCTAAAGCTGTTTATCTATCACCACTCCTTATTCACTTCGTTTGCTATGGTTTCCTTCTCTTTAACTTTAAGATGTGCAGTATAGCTTCATATACCTTTTTACACTAGAAGGTGTATTTTCAAAATATACACGGAATACAAAAAATACTATTGGATGATTTAGCAATTATAAAACCTATTAAAATGTTCATAAAATAATATAAGTCTAATGCTTTTTTTTTTCATTTTAAACATAAACTTTTTTCCCATGTTATTTTGGACCCTCAACATGCTGTGGATACTTGCCTAAAATTAACATATTCCATCATGTAAACAATTAAAAACTTAATTTTTACTTTTGCTTAATTATACTGCACTACATGGTTGAATGTGCTTTCTGTTAAGCAACAAAACCTGTATGCCCCAAATATTACAATTAAAATTACGATTATAACTATATTAAATTAGTCATTTTGGAACTACATTGTATATCTTAAGACTGTACTGAAGAATATGTTTGGACTTTAAAGGTGTTATATACTGTATTATGCCTGACTTATGTGAGCTTTAAGCCATGCTGAAATGTCATTACCTCCACAGATACTCAGAGTTGTGTTTTGTTTCAGTAGTACATGTTTGAATAACACTTACTTACACTTAATAACAATACTATTAGTCTGCCTACATCTCCAAAGCTCAAAATGCTCTGTTTTACCTTGTGATGTCATGTAGTGGTAATTTTTAACCCTCACGCTCTCCGCGGGATCACAATAGACCCATCCCAAGAGAGCGGAAAGGAAAAAAAATTTTTCTTCGGGTCTATGTGACCCGGAGGAGAGCATGAGGATGTTAAGTTAGCATCTCATTTTTACCTTTAATTAAGGAGAGACTTACAATTCCAGAACTGAAATGATCCAAATAATTCTAATGAATGTATGGAGAAAACACAGTGAGCACTTCCTGTATTACTGCATGATATCACAAACGTGGAACAGGGTGTTTTCAGTTTGAGAGAAGGGTTTGTGTGTTAAACATGTGTGAATGAAACAAAATACAAAAAAAAGAAAAGAGCGTAATATTGGCCCTTTTACGCATGGGGATTTAACCTCTTATCCTCTTCTCACAGCCACCCTGCCCCCTGTTACTCCAGAGGCTGTTACTGCAGTGGCTCAGTGGGGTCTTCTCACCCTCATCGGATACTGGGTCTTGGCCATTGTTCTGCGCCTGCTCATCGGAATCGTGAGGCAGGTTTTCTGGATCATTAAAACCGTGTTGGCACTCTGGTTTTTCGGACTCATTGTATTGGACAAGACAGCATCAGCAGACACCACAGCAGTGCGGCTAACAGGGCTGGTGCTGGTGTGTGTGCTTCTGACCCTACTCACCTCTGGCTCAGAAAAGACCAGTGCCGTGGAACAGCGCATCAGCAGCCTGGAGGGGAGGCTGAAGGTTGTGGAGAAGAGCAAAGGGGACTAAAGGCAACCACGATGGCATTGATTTTTATTATGTCAAAGTACCAGGAATAAAGTGATCTTTTTAAACCTTTTTAATTTACATAGATTCTGTTCTTTGAGTCAGTATACACTAAATTATACACTAATATTAAACATGGTAATTAGCAGCCATACCGCCTAGAGAATGCCCAGTCTTGAAAGTTAAGGGTTGGTAGAGTATAGCACTGTTGTGTCCTATGGCAAGACACTTCACCCACCTTGCAAATGTGTAATGTGTTTGAAGGTGCAGATTGGCAGTCTCGTTTCTGTAAGTGTACCCCACGGCAGCTTTGGCTTCAATAGTAGTTTAACACCACATTTACAGCTATCAAAGAGCATTTTCTATGAGGAGAGGCCCAATCTGTGACGGATAATAATGTCAGGTGATCTCTATTAAAACAAAACAAGAAAAACATTTTGTTGTGCCAAAGTGTTTGAAATATTGCAGCTCTCTCGTCTCGCCAGATCTGTGTGTCTGGTATTTTGTCTCGAGGCACATGCCACTCAGTCAAAAGGAATCTCTATGAACCAGTTAAGACATCCTATAGGCCAATATAATTTAATACGAATAACAATTCATTGTTATTGTTAAAACGCAAATGTTTGTTATACAGTGAGTTCTTAGGTTTAGTCACTATTATGTGCAAATATGTCACATCTAAGTACAATGTAATCAGCGGCAAAAACTGTCAAAAAATGTTAAATCTGGCTTTATCAATTATTGACTAAACCCAAGAACTCACTGTATTATTTCAACACAATTTTGTATTTTAACTATTTATTTTAGATGCCCCCATATGTATTGATTAATATAGGCCTATAGAATGTTGTGATATCATCTGAAACCAAACAATTAGGAAAATATCTACAATAATTAATGTAGGGGGTCTGAATTAGGGGGGCTGTATGGGCTACTAGTCACACAGATTTTAGGTATGGATACATGACCAAAAAAATCCCACAAAATGTTCAAAATTGATTTATTTAACATTTATAGTGTTGACTTTGTTATTTTCACCACATCCATAATACAACCAACATTCATTCAAAAGTATCACTACTATACTGTTCTAAATTGTGAAAACTCAGATAACTTACATCAGTTCTAAATGCATTTGTGGTCAAAGGTATATTGTTCAACAGTCGTTGAGCACCACAGGTATAAGAAAAGTCCAAAGATATAATGATTGGCTAGTCAAGTCTTTGAGGTAGGACTGGTGAAAAAGTTTATAATCTGCCTTTATGAATAATTGTATTCAAGACTTAAACGTAAACATGTAAAAAGGCACATGAAACACCCCTAAAAGGTGCATTGTGTAACATTTGTGGTGGAACGTCCATCAGGTGCTTTTTTCCATGCAGATGTTAAATAGTTTTATCTGGAATGTTCCACAGTATAGATGAAACCTATCACAAGAGAGACAAGCAGGTTGCAGCTCTACGCTACATTACAATTCAGATCTGTGGAGAGCCCCCCTATTCACAGAAGGAATTATTTTATGTTTGAGCAATAGAAACATCAGAGATAAATAAACTGACATGTTTAATGTCATACCATGGAACATTACAGGCAAAGCATTAACATCACCATGGAGACAAGTAGGCAACAGACCCTCCACCAAAAAATTACACAGTGCACCTTTAAGTAACAAAATTGTAAAAGAAAAAGAAAATGAATAAAGGCCTTTCAATAAGTTTCAGCTTTTATCTTCATGACCCAAGCCTGAGGTAAGTGATATGTTGATATGTTCCCATCAGCACTACTTCCTGAGATGAGTTTACAGGTACAAACTGCACAAACTCGACCCCGTGTGGCAGCTCCCATGAGCGGGACTCTCCATACTTCTTTATAACCGGCTCTACGTATTCTTAAAAGAGAAAAAACATGTTAATATGTGACAGAGGCTACAGAATAATGCCTTCTTACCATCTACAGAAACCATAATCTGCTCTGTCACTGAATGTATAATATATGTATATATGTAATGTATTAATGTCAGAATATGAAACTTTGAAGTGTGGGTCCAGGGTCTATTGAGGACATATATCAATATTAAAGTAATATGATGCATGTTCTTGCCTGGCAAGCCAGTCCCTCCTACTTTCTGTTCAATCACAATCTCTCCAATGCAGAACCTTTTGTTCTTTCTTTTTTACTCATAAACTGACCAGATGTTCATGATTGTTAATATGCCTTTAGTCATAACCATCCAATATTGTCGTTAGAAAATACTGTAAAAGCCTGTGGTCTTGGCTGGCCAGGCAATAACTTTTCTGATGGAGGGTTGCCACCTGCTTCTCTCCATGGAGATACTATTTATTTTCCTTGAATGTTCCACATTAAATGTTTAAGTCTTGCATTAATTTTTGTTTTTACAATGCAAAAATATCTTACTAAACATGGATTGAGGCAAAACAATAATAAGTTAGTGGAGACAGACAAAGTGCACAGTGGCGCACAACTTTTCTCTCCCAGTGATCCCTACATTAACAGTAAATATGGAAGAAAAAATATAATTGTTTTATGTTTTATAATGATGTTATAGAAATGTCATCATGATAAGATTTTTTATGGAAACAATTAACATGCTATCCCCTTGTTAAAATTCAAGCAGTGTGAACTTTTTCTTTTGAGAACCCTTGCAAATCTTGACAAACTTGATTCAGAGTTTGGGAATATAGGTTAGGTAGTAGACCTTCCACCAGAGAAGTTACATAGTGTTTCTTTAAACAGTAACATACCTTTCCATTGTTCACAACCATACGTTTGACTCCCCCAGCAGGAGTGTAGAAAATCTCACTTTTGTAGGAACGAGGGTTTAAAGACTTTGGCAGAATATACATGTCACCATAGCAGACAGAGACATGTATGTATCCTGAGCCTGTACAAAGAAAAAAGGAATATGCTTAATAATTATAGCAGTTGCACAAAAACATGTTTTAATATTTAATTCAATCAACTTGCCTGAGTAACTTCCATATACTTAATATATGGGACATTGTAACTTCAAAGGCTAGATCAAAATGCATTTTCTCCCATTGGGACATGAGGATCACCCCTTAAAGTAGGACCTACACACACCAAACTTTTCAGTCTTGTACTTAACAAGATTTTGACTGAGCGAAGGATTTTTATTATCTAATTCCAAGTCTGATTTATTAAACTTTAACGCCAACAAATGAAATTTGATAAACTTTCTGAAGATAAACTTTTTAAAATTTTGAGGCAAATTTTCAATGAGATCTACTTTACTCAAACACTAATTAAGATATCTGTAAAATCGCCTATGTATATATATTTTTTTGTATCTAACAGACTATGTCAACAAAAAGAAGCAGGACATTTAAACTTGGGCTCTTTTGATGTTTCTGTAGTGAATGTCACAAAAATGCAAGATATATGTTTAATGCCATATTGTGGAACATTCCAGCCAAAACAATAACTTCTCCATGGAGATAAGTAGGTGGCAGATCTTCCACCTCACAAGTTAGTGTGGCTTTATCATAGAAATGTTCATAACATAAACAACAACAATAGGCATTGCCTATTCATGTGTTTCAGCATATGCAACATTTTGAGAACTTTTTCCAATTTAAAATAGAATATTTTAAAATACTTCTTACATTTCTTTTTACGTAAATATCATTTTGACACATGGATAGGTCTAGTAGTTTAAACATATGTTGTGTAATTTTTCAGGTGGAGGGTCCTTCAAATGCTTTTCTCTGTGGAGATGTTATTGTTTTGTCTGGAATGTTTTTACAGTATGGTACTGAACCTTTCTTTTTTCATGGAGACCAAATTAGACCAAGTTACAAGTCAGATTTGTGGAGAGACAACCCGACTCACAGTCTGAATGCCTAGGTATTTTTGAGCTACAAAACCACCTGTAATTGAATAAATGTAAGGTAGAGCTGTTTAATGTCATACTGTGGAACATCCCAAGCAGAGCAATGACATATCCATAGAAACAAACCCCCAACCAAAACGTTACACAGTGCACCTAAAATAGGCAACAAACCAGCAGTTTCATCTATGGCCGTAGAGGGCGCTTCGCAAACAAGTAGGATAACAGATACTCTATGTCAGGGGTCTCCAACCTGTAGCTCGGGACCTACCTGTAGCTCTCCACCCCCTTTCAAGTAGCTCACCAAGGGATTTCTGAATTACAGGTATTGTCCTGAGTAACTCAAATATGATGAATTAAATGCCTATTATTATTATTGTGAATCAATCATTTTGATGTCTGACTTTGTGCACTCATAAATAAACAATGGTTTATGTTTTATCTAATCGTACCCCATCTAAGTCTTGCCATGGCTCTTATATATACTTTATTTCCTGTGACAGCTAAAATAAGTAGCTCTTTGGAATTTTTGTTTTGTAAATGTAGCTCACCTGGGGGAAAAGGTTGGAGACCCCTGCTCTATGTGATCAGACTCATAGATGGTATTATCAGACTACAACCTCATTATTTCAGTTTGTTTCTCTGTCTCCCGTGGCCAGTGAATGTATGAATGCAGATGCAACTTACAAAATCCGAGTAAGCACAGCGCGAGGTAGAGTCGTAAATGCTGTCCAAAAACAGAAAAGCCTGTTAGTAAAGTGTGTATTGTTGTTATTAAAGTGTGTATTGTTGTTATACTTTCAAGAAAAACACGAACTGGGCGAGACCACTGCTATCACTGGCGTACAAGCGTTGTGTTTAGTGCGCAAACTCTGCTTTCATTGTACCCCTCCTCCCACTGGACCTATAGACGAGAGCTATACGTTTTACCACTGATTTAAGCATTTGCAGTAAAATAACAATAAGATTCCTAACCCCAAAAGTGTGAAACATAGATACCCTCTGATAACATGTGTGTATAATGTATTTAATATCAATAATACACATCATATTCAAAACAAAACTTCAGATTCCAACATTTATTTTCAGCAGCTGGAAGCTACAGTTTGACTACTTAGACAAAATAAAAGATGCAAGGGGTTAGTTTATGACAATACTGCTTGATATTTGTTATTTCTTCATGTTAGTTTACATAACATATTTTTATTACATTCATTAATAAATTATCAAAATATAACAGTAGAATAACTTTCCTTACAGTACTTCGGTATAGTAGGTTACTTTCATAAATGTAACAGACAACATGTAACAGAATTGAGATGGAAAACCAGACGTTATAATGTTATATGTGCATAATAATATTGAAGTTGTTTTAGAAAATGTACCACAAAGGTATACAGTGATGTTCCTCTGCTACCATGATCTTTTTTGTTAAACCCCTAACATCTAGGCACAACAAACTGTTACATCAGGCACGTCAAACAAATTCAAAATTCCTGGGGATTGTGTGGGAAAGAATGCCCTTTTATGTACTGCACACAATACATCTACACAATACATAAGTCTGAATATGGCTTTACTTGAGACCCTTAAATTCTCCAGAATATCATTTACATTTATTCAGTGAAGAAAGGAGTATTCAGTTTTGTTGCTTAAGTAAAAGTACAGATATTGGAGCAGCAAAAAAATACTCTACTTAAGTAAAAGTATTAAAGTACTAGTTTAAAAACTTAACGGTACTTAAAAGAATTAAAAGTAAAGTATTATGCATAGAGGTTGAGATCTAATAAAGCTTCAAATGCATTGATTTTGATAAAGATTTTGCTCATATTATGAAAAAAATCATTCTCAGCCTTTAAAGCAATCTCACACTATAATAAAAATTACTTTTCAGTCCTGTTCAAAAAATGTAGTGGAGTAGAAAGTACAGACATCTGCTCTCAAATGCAGTGAAGTAAAAGTAAAAAGTTTCCACTGTAAAATGTACTTAATGCACTTAAGTAAAATACATATACCTAAAATGTATATTTAAGTCCAGTACTTCACTTCTTTTACATTGTTACGTTCCACCTCTGCATTTATTTCTATGACAAGAAGTTGAGCTTGTCTGAGTTATATTCTGCAGAGGTAGTCCCTTCGGAGCTGAGAGGAGGAGCAGAGGAGAAGGCGGTACCACTAAATTCAAACGTTGGTTCTGAGTCAACAGAAGTGAAATTAAAGTTATGTGAGGAGAAACTGGTGGGTTCTGTGGCTCCTGTTGTAGATACCTGTGGGGCATATTTAAAACAGCACTTACCATGTAAAAACTACACCACACCAAATTACTTAAATGAATAATTCTATTTAAAGGTGCAGTATGCAACTTTTTTGTTGGGGGTCCGTCACCTGCTTGTTTCTATGGATCTGTTATTGCTCTGCCTGGAAAATCCACAGTATGACATTAAACAGCTCTACTTTACATTTATGTGGTGGTTTTATGTTTCAAAAATTACTAGAAAAACAGGCATGCTGACTGTGAGCAGGGTCACCTCTCTACAGATTTGACCTGTACTCTGGTCTAGTTTGGTCTCTATAAAGATAAAAAAGATTTAATACCATACTGTGAAACATTCCAGACAAAGCAGTAAGATCTCCATGAAGAAAAGTATTTGACAGACCCTCCACCAGAAAAGTTACACAATGCACCTTTAAAAGAACAGTAATAGATACAGCAGGTTGAGTATACCTGATCAAGTGGAGATGTGATCACACCAGCCAGAGAAACATCATTTGTTTGCTGTAAAAACAAATATAGTTAATAAAAAAAATAGGTTGTGGTAAACTATATTTCTGTGAATACTTTTCTGGAGGCTAATATGTTTTCTCCATACCATATATACCATTTGTATGTTTTCATTTGATTGCTTAGTTGTTCATAATTGTCTGGGGTCTAATCCTATATTGGCTATTGAATCTTTTCATCTTATCATCTTTTTAAACACTAAAATGCTCTATGATTATAAAGTGTGTTATGTGCCACTTACAGGTGGATCTGGGGGGCTGGCTGTGGGTTCAGAGACAGGAGGGTCTGGCAGACTGGAGTATGCTGGGACTGGAGGGGCTGAAGGCTCCAAAACACACTACCAGAAAATCCAAATCAAATACTGAAGGCATTTTCCATTCAATTTACTACACAGGAAATACGCACAAATAGAGCTGCAACTGACAATTATTTTAGAAGTGGAATAGTTCAAGAATTTTAAACCAAGAAACATTAAAATATATTGACTGAAGGTTTCCACATATCCTTGGGTTTTAGGATGATGAAAAATGAGCACCATTGCCACAGCAATTACCAATTCAAAACAAATTATTTGTTCTATTTAATGGTCAAAAAATGTTTCCTTTAAAGCAGGAAGCTGAACCTAATGAAAAGAACATTATGTGTATTATGATGAAAATGAGTAAATCTGTATTATCTGTATTGCTGTGTACCTCTGAATAGGGCGGTGGTGGGTCCATGGGTCTCCCTTGTGCATTATATGTCTACAGAACAAAACAGGGTCAATAATAAGGCAAATTGCAAATAAATACAGATTCTTGTTTTTAACTTACAGGTAGATCTGGAATAACGACCCTTTGCTCTCTGGGGATAAGGGGGCTAGCTGTCTGAGTGGAATGAGGTGGATCCTGTTGAAATTTGGTCATATGTCATTATTAAGACATAAAGACATAAATCATGAAGATATGAGCACTTGTAGAAAACACACATACTTACATTATGGTACGCAGTCGATGCTGGGGCCTCGTCTTCTGGCTCATCTGTTTTACTTGAGCTCTCTTTACAGCAGCACTTTTTCACACAGCAGCAGCACAATATACCTCCAAAGGAAAATGCAGCAAGACTGACATAGCTTGCCCACTCCTTCTCCACTGCAAAAGTAAAACAAACCTTAAAAGTTGCACTACGTAACTTTTTGGCTGGGAGTCCGTCACCTGTTTGTTTCTATGGATATGTCATTGCTCTTCCTGGAATGTTCCACAGTATGACATTAAACAGGTCTACCGATAAATGGTATAAAGAAGTGGACTAAGCAAGTGTGATGTCACCCATAGCGTTCAGCCCCACTCAAATGAAGCTTGCGATGTTAACGGTTATAGGGGAGACTTTGGAGTCAGTCTCGATATAAGGAATATAATTTTTTTAATGGACAAAATATCAGAAAAAACACCAGGATCATGTAGAGTGGGTTAATACAAATATTTTAAGACCAAAATGACAAGGCTCACTGCAGCAGTTACAGAGAGCAGTGACAATATTCCAATGCAAGTCAGTGGGAGGCAGTGTCAGAAGGAGCTGGAAGAGCCCACATGCAAACTTCCTATTTGGAAAGCAGTGGCTAGCACATTAACTATATCCATTTATATATACAGTCTATGGCTCTACCTTACATTTAGTCAATTACAGGTGGTTTCACAGCTGAAAAATACCTTGAAAAACAAGCATTCTTGCTGTGAGCGGGGTTGTCTCTCCACAGAGCTGACCTTTAACTTGGTCTGGGTTAGTCTCCATGAAGATAGAAAGGTTAAATATAACACTGTGAAACATTCCAGACAAAGTATTAACATCTCCATGGAGTAAAACATTTGACAGACCCTCCACCAGAAAAGTTACACAATGCACCTTTAATGCTTTGAAACAAAACTGAGCATTATGTAAGTCATAACCTACCTTCTCTTATTTGTACACTTGCATGCAGCATTAGGTTTCCACTCTTGTCGAGAAAATCATACGTGCCAGCATCTTTAGGTGTTGCATCTTTAATTTCAAAGTATCCTTGTATGATTCTGAACCTGTTGTTATTCTCAGATATAGTTTGTGAAATGTAGGAGCGTGTAAACTTAACTTGACTTGGGGTAAACATTAGAGGAAATTCCAATGTGATGTGGCCTTCATCAAAGTCATAGCTTTTTTCATGATCTAATTGGAGAGTGAGAAAGAGAGAAAATTCAGGAAGTTGTTGATACATTTTGCAACGTGCTTTAGAGTAGAGATTGACCGATATGGGTTTTTTCCGCAGATATTTTTGGACAGAGTTTGATTTACTCCGCCAAATTATGAAACTTAAATTGATTAAACACTCACCCATAGCCTTTTTTCACCACAAACTTATATGAGAGCTAGTCATGTTTTCAGCATTTATCTAAAGCTTTACGGGTGCAGGTCACCCAAAACCAAATTTCTCCTGTGCTACACCATGGACATGTTATTGCTTTGTCTGAAATGTTTCACAGTATGGTATTAAATCTTTCTATCTTCGTGCAGACCAAACCAGACCAAGTTATAGGTCAGATCTGTGCAGAGGCAACCCCTCTCACAGTCAGAATGTCTGTTTTTCTAGGTATGTTTGAGTTATAAAACCACATGTAATTTAATAAATGAAATGTATAAGTGTTTAATGTTATATTGCGGAACATTCCAAGTGGAGCACTGACATATCCATAGAAACACGCAGGTGATGGACACCCAACCAAAAAGTTGTGTGTAGTGCACCTTTAAGGACAATATGCTGATAAGCTAAAAAGTCCAAATATCGACCCAACTAATATATCGGTCTATCTCTACTTCACAGTGTCTGCCTTACGTTCAATTACTATCTGCTCCCATTTTACCAGCTGATTTTTGGAACCCCTGAACCTGTAGTATCCGCTGTCTTGCTGTGTGATGTCCTTGATCTCATACTCATTGCCTCTAATTCTGCCCCTGCTGAGTTCGGATGGGTCTGTGCGATTCCAAAGAACTTGGGGTTTGACCAAGCTTGGGATTCCTGAACCAGTATATTTTAAAAACTCTAAATATTCAGCAGCACTTGGCAGTACCCAAAAAATGGAAGATCCATAATCAGCCCTTCGAGCTTTACGACAATCTGAAATTTAAAAAAAATATATATTCATTAACAAAATAGGCCTTCGTACAACACTATTTGCTGCGACGGTTGTCTCACTTTGGACTCTCAGTTCCACAGAGGAGATGAGCATTGTTTCACTGGATAAAACTGCTTCATTGTCTTGTTCAGTTACATCTATCAATTCTGCTCCACTCCAAAAAATCCTGAAGCGTGGATCAATTGCCTGAAAAGATTTGAGAGTTTACTTTAAGAATACTAATCTGAAAAATCCTAAAGGAAATCAATTACCTTTCCATTCTTGACAACAATCTTAGGCTTTCCGACTTTTGGAGTGTATGTAACCGTCATATTGAAGGGATATCGAAAACCTCGCAAGCTGTATTTTGAGCCATAGCACACGGTCTCTCTCAAAGATGAACCTTTATTTGGACAAAAAACAGTTTCAGTTATATAGACTATACAACAACAAACAGTAAGGTCAAATGTGCTTATATAATGCTGTATTGTAGCAATAATAATAATAATAATAATAATAATAATAATAGTTTTTGATTTGGTGATAGAATTTTTGGCATTTCATGTAGGTGACAAATTATGAAGTGTGATATATTGCTGGAGTCAATAGAGACGATAAACGATAATACTGAAAGTAAGTTTTCACTGATATAACAACCCAAGAGCTGATTTAAACCACAAAAATAATAAAAATAATAATAATAATAATCATCAACTGCAATATATAAACAGCAGAATGAAACACTTAAGTGCTTGGGGTTTGCATCTGTAAAGAGTCAGTTATTAATTCAACCTTTTGCGTCTTAAATCTCATCATCCAAGCTGGAACAATATTTTCTGGAGTCAGTATTTATCATGTGTACATTTCCTTTGCACTATTGGGAAATGCATTTTTTGACATATGGTAAGGTTTAAGTTAAGCCATAAAGGGTTGAACTCATTACAGATGCAAACTAATTACATTAGTTTCATTTGGCTATTTATTTAATGTAGCTCATGCTTTCTTAACAATATTGTAATTTTTGTGAGTTAAATCTGCTCTTTGGTTACTGTACTTCTGCAGTATATCATAAAAATTGTTATTGTGATAGGCCCAACAACCACACACCTCAGCAAAGCATAAGGTATTTACAAAATCAAGAGGCAACTTCATCATTGTCACGTAATTATGTTACTAGGCCTGTCACGATAATTACCATATTGACTTGTCATTCAGTACGCGATAGCTAGAACAGTACATTTTAATGTTTATTTGAGAACTTTGTCTTTGTACAAATCGGGAACTTTTTGTTATTTTTACGTTCTATGATATGATCTGCAATGAGTCTAATAAATATTTTTTATGACTCATTATAGATAACTAAGCTACTAAAGAGCTTCATTCTAATAATTTCTTGCGGCTCATATTTTTAGAATAGTTTCAATATCGTTTATCGTCTGTACTGTCTTCACCAATGTATCGCACGGCAAAATTTCATAACGTGACAGGCCTATTTTAACTCTCAATTCAATAAACAAATCGAACAACAGATGGCAGCAAAACGCACGTTTTTACTGTTGCGCCAAGAAATTTCAATGGAAAATAATTGAGTTGAGGCTCAATCGGCATCCATGAAAAATAACAAATATCCTCGGAACTAGAAAGGTCCAGACGATATCATTATATGTTTAAATTTTCATATATTTGGTTAGTATGTTAATTCTTATGTGGGTATAATTACCGTCATTGTAGATTAGATACTCATTCTTCAGCAGTTTCACCATAAACATATACGATAAGGTTAAGGCGTACAAGATCTGCCAAATGAAGCTTTTAATCTGTTCTGTTATGTAAAATTTACTTACCTAATGTGCAAAGGGTTAAAAGAACGTAGAGCGGTAGTAGCATGACCAGTTACCAAAAAGGGTACGCCTACTCGGTCAGATGTTTCTCAAAAGTGCAAAGCGCAAAGTAATGACAGACTACTGTAAATGACTACTGTAAAATAATCTTATTATAATATTTTCATGGATGGGAAACAGGCTTTGGATCATATGGAAAATGGAAAACAAACATGGCTGGGCATAGTTCGGATGTTGGGCGGCGAGGCTCGTCGAGACCACACCTCCAAATGACTCGAGGGCGGAGACAAAGGAACCTGCGCAAGATCTTTAATTAATGCGCATTCAAGCCCCAGCACTGTGCACAAAATCATGGGTACAAAAAAAAATCTGTGTTATTAGGATACAAACGATAATATGAGATAACTATTTAACACCAAATCAATAAAGCAAATAGTAAATACAATAATGATATCTGGTTAAATAAAAAAAAAAACAAGATTTCGAGATGTCATCATGTCTCAGTCTAATTAAAAAAAAAAAAAAAAAAAAAAAACACCCTCTCAAATACATAAAAAAATCTGTGTGGACTGATTCAGGGTGGCAGTAGCTCAGTTGGTAGAGTATTTGCCCACTGATCTGAAGGTTGATGATTCAATTCCAGCTCTTGACATAAAAAAAAAAAAAAAAAAAAATCACAAGTTAAGTGGTCAGATCCACTGACCCACAGGTTGGCTGGTGTGATTCCAGCTCCCACAGACAAATGCTGTTGTTCTGTCCTTGGGCAAAACACTTAACCCACCTTGCCCACAGTGTCTGTGTACACTAGTGTGTGAATGGGTGAGTGGTTCCTTGCTGTAAAGTGCTTTGAGTGCCTTGAAGGTGGAAAATGTGACCTCTTACCATTCATGCACAAATTCCTATAGGCACAGAATGCAAACATACTGTGGCTGAGTTCTCACATTTAGTCTGATAAGATCCATCACATTTCTTCCTGTTCTGGTTCAGTGTTAGTTATATAGTTTCCTGCAGTGGTTGAGCTGAAAGATCAAGGCGCCAATCCTCCTGGCACTGTGACCTGTAAAGATAGTTCACGTGGTCATATAATAGACTTACTTATCTATATAACATATCTACATAAAACTTATCTTTGCTGTGCACATAAAAACACTCAGCTTTTACACCTTGGAATGACATGAGTGACTGACCAATGGTGTTGAGAATATGTGGTTACTGTGTAACTGTGAGGACATGCCAAGAGCAAGTATTGCTCAAAAATACAAATAAACAGTATGCATTCCACACACAGGCAAACTAATAAATCTAAAGAATCACTGTTTAAAGGTACACACTGCAGTAATAAAGCTATTTTAACTCTTGGTTCTGTAAATTAGCATTGTAAAAATATATTTTACCAATTCTACATATTGAGTAGTGTGAGTGTGAAGGGGTCATAAGACTGGGTGAAAAGAACAAATATGGATATAGACAACATTTTGTTTCAAACTCACTGGCTCTAGAGAGTAGTTGGGTCTCTGTTTGAGTTGTCTTTTAAAGCCTGCAAGAGAATAGTCACATCACACAATAAAAAGGCTGTTATAGTGCGATTGAAAACACATTGATAATACTTACTTGGAAAATTACTGCAGGGGTCACTTCCTCAGAAGTATCAGAACTTTTTCTTTTGTTTTTATATTTTTTCCAGCAGAAATGGCCACCTAACCCCATGAATCCAGCTCCAAAGGCACACAACGCAACAATGAAAAACCAATGTAGAGGCTCTTCATCTAGAATAAAATGTCAACATCTTAATTTTCTGTCATTACCCATAGCAACCAAACCGTAAAGAAAACATAGCCAATACCTACCCTCTTTAATTACTATCTCCACGTGCAGGATCAAGTTGCCTTCCTTGTCAAAAAACTCATATGTGCCAGCATCTTCAAAGGTGGCATCGTCAATAGTAAGGTACTGGTTTGTTATGAGAACTCTGCCACCATTTTCTAACACTGTGTGGGTTTCTGCACCCACATGTGTAAATCTAACTTGACTTATGATGACTACAAGAGGAAACTCTATATACACCATTTTGCCCATCACATAAGTATAGTTTTTAACATGCTCTGTGTGGAAAAAGGGTCAGTTGTTAAAAAAAACACAATCCAACTGCATAATTTGTTATTGGTTAAATGGCTTATATTACCCTATTTTCTGATCGGTTATAATGTTGTTTCCTCATCAAAAACATACCTGAAGTTACATTTTGTTTCATTCACACATATTTAACACGCAAACCGTGCATATTTAGGCTGAGTTCTCCTCTCAAACTCTGGTTCACCTTGTGATGTCATGTGGTGATGCAGGAGGTGTTCCGTTGTGTTTTTAAACGCCATACACCTTCACTAGTATCACTTGGATAATTTCAGCCCTGGAATTGCCAATCTAAACTAAATGTACATGCAGTCGTTAACTTGAAACAACCATTTCATGATATCACAAGGAACAGCTCATTTTGACCTTTGGAGATGGAGACAGAGTAATAATAAACTCAAACATGTGTGAATGAAACAAAGCACAACTCCAGGTATGTTTTAGATGAGGTATCAACATAATAACATGGCTTAAAGCTCACAAGAGTCAATTCTGTGTAATATAGGACCTGTAAAATCTGCCTTACCTTCAACTACTATTTGCTCCCATTTTAGCAGTTGATGTTTGGAGCCCCTAAACCTGTAGTATCCACTGTCTTGCTGTGTTATGTTCTTGATCTCATAGTCATTGCTGCTTGCATTTCCTCTGCTGTAAGAGGGGTCAGTGCGATTCCAAAGGACTATAGGGTGGCCTGGGGTATCTGAGACATTATATTTAGAGAACTCTAAATATTCAGCTTCATCCGGTATGATCCAAATGATTGAAGATCCATAAAACTTCTTCACTGGGCTACGACAATCTGAAAAAAAGTAAAATGGTAGCAACACAACACACATACATGCCCACACATTTTTAGACTAGGATAGTTATACCTCACTTTTAACATTGACTTTTACAGAGTCTCCTTTCTCTGTGGATAACACTGTTTCATTGTCTTGTTCTGTTAAATCTGCCATTTCAATTTCATCTTGTGAAACTTGAAAACGAGGATCCAGTGACTAAAAATATAACAATAATTCTTTAGCTCTGTCCAGATTAGAAACTTGGTGTTTACTGATGATGCCCTGTGGCAGCTGTCGTGGGTCACAGTAATCAACCATTTCCTTCTGCAAAATGACATACCTGTCCATTGTTGACAACAATCTTTGAATCTCCCAATTTCGGAGTACATGTAATTGTCTTATTGTAGAGAGGTGGTGTGAAACTTGCTGGCAAATTGTACTTGGCCCCATAGCACACTTCCTCAGTAAGGGTAGATGAACCTTTATTAAACAAAATCAAAAATTCTTCAATTCATTAACATGCATATTTAGATATAGCTCCAATTAAGACTCTTAAATTAACAGAGGCACATGAGAGAGAGAGAAGTTTATGAGCACACCAAAAATCTGATTATTATCTGATTTCAGAAGTTAGCAGATTATTGAAATGTTATGTAAACAGTAATCTGATTTCTTTCTGATTATTCACACATACGCAGGTTTTGACAAGGAAAATTACGCAAAATGACCAAACTAATGAGGCCAAGATGGTAAAAATAGAAGAGAAAAGGTTTTGATAGGCTAATGAGATTCTGGAGAAGAAAAAAAAGATCTAATTATTGTCTTTTAGTTATCTATTTTAGTTATCAAATTTTTACTGGCCATGAAAATGTACCCGCTGTCTGTCTAGTAAATTAGATTAGATTAGATTAGAATATTCTTGTTGTGGTGAGTACATACGTCTAGAACTGCTTGTAAACATGTGACACATCACATATTAATAAATACACAAGTTATACTCACCAAACCTTACAATGGTAAAAAGAAGGCAGATCAGCAACATGTCGACTAGTAATCATATGTCGTAGCCTTGTAGACTGAGTTACGCCCAATTTTAATACGCTGTTTTTAAATGATAAGCAACTACGTGAATTATCGTTACTCACTCGTGCAAGTCTCAAAGCCACGCGAGTCTACGGAAGAAAAAGAAAAATGTGTGTTCCCGCTGCTTCAAAACTACTGCCACAGGAGACTGACCGAGACCACACCTCACTTAAGTTGTAGCCTAATAAAGAAGGGAAAATATAGTAAATCATTGACCACAAATATACTATAATAACCTACAAGAGTTATTATACTATTATGTGATTTGAACAAATGCATTAAAGCATAGGACTCATAATCTACAAATAGTTATTGTCATAATGTCCAGGCTAAAAAGCAACTTTCTGGAACTATACCCACATGGCCGCGTCTCATTTCTGATGTTCACTTGTGGAGGTGGAGGACCAAGTCGTCGTTAGGTAAGTCTCAAGTCCAAGCCAAGTCCCAAGTCAAATAAAGCCAAGTCCAAGTCCTCTGCTTTGAGCTTCAAGTCATTTCAAGTCTTTAAACCATCACTTTTAAGATACATTTTATTTACAAAGTGTTAGTATATTGACATGTGAATGTGAGTATTCATACAGTCTAAGAGTTGTAGAAATGCAATTTTTAAAATGTCTTCACAAGATCTTAGTGTGAATCATTACAGTCAGAATAAAACAAATTCAGATTTAAAAGTGCTTCTCAATTCTTCTCAAGTCACAGGCCTCAAGTCCGAGTCAAGTTCCATGTCACTGACCTTCAAATCCAAGTCGAGTCCCAAGTCTTAGTCTATTTTATCAAGTCCAGTCTCAAGTCCTAAAAATAGTGACTCAAGTCTGACTCGAGTCCAAGTCACGACCTGCAAGTCCCTATCTCTGTTCACTTGCCTCCTTGTTTCCTCGATTCGCTCTCCCTTGTGGCTCTCCATGCTCTCTTCTCAAAAGACAAAGTTTACAAAGTTGGGATTCAAGGCGTCAAGTGGTGCTCATATTGTTCAAATGGTCCAAACTATTTTGTTAAAACTAAATGAAGATGCGGAAGCTCTTAAAACACATAATGAAAACAGTATGCTGAAAGACTAATCATAAGCACCGTCAAATTAATACACATAGGATAAACTAATGATCAAGTTTCACTGCCTCTACTACACTAATTTTACACACTTTTTTTCCAGAAGATTTGCTAAGGCTATACATGAAAGATGGGCCTACTTATATTTTTGTCATTCATTGCCCTGGCTGTGACAGTTTCGACAGTTCAAAGAAAATGGTTAATGAACTTTTCTGTAGAAACATTTCATTTATTTTGGTGAACAAGGGAATTAAACAGGAGCAGCAGTCAGTTTGAATTAAAAGAAAATAATGCATCTAGTGTACACAGATTTTGTAACTCATTTTAATGTTGTTTTTTTTTACTTCATAATTAGCATGATAAACAATATTCAGTAAACAATATATTTTCTTATTATACAATACATATAATACACAATAAGACAACAGACATGGGAGGGTGGCGTAAGGAAGGGGGACAAAGTAGAAATGGACTGATGATTTTTTCATGACCGATAAACTCTGCAGATATTTTTGGACCAATATGTGAGGCTGATTTTGATTATTTTCACCAAATTACGCCATTTTCATTTATAACAAAATTACCTACAGCCCCATTTTACCACAAGCCTTCGAGATGGCTATGTAGTCACATTTTAGCAGTTATCTATTTGCATTAAAGTGTTCAAAATAAAATTTGCACATACTCTTCAAGTAGCAGGTTAGTCAAATCAAAATATTGTCCTGTGCTTGAGATTTAAGGCCAAAAGCCAATTCACTAAAAAGTGCAAATATTGGCCTGATATCTCAGCCAACCAATATATTGGTGTATCTCTAGGATGCATCTTACATTCGTACATACATTCTTATCTTTTTTTACATTATTGTCATAGCAGTCCATGTAACCTATAATATAAAAGACCTTTGTATTAACTCAATCTCCAAATATACTATATTGAGATGTAACAGTAACCATGCCAGTGTGATAGGTCTATGTAAAAAGCCTTATGTAGAAAATGTATATAAAATACATTTACACAGTTGCCTAAAAGTATTGCATTGTTGTAGAAGAGGTAAATAATAGAGGTAAAGCTATTACAATACAGTTATAAAAAAAATAAATAAAAAAAAAACACTTTTGTATCCCTTATGGCATTATATAATGGTTTTGCATGTGGTTTGCATGTGCCAGAACTGGACTGAAGCTCACTTTCGTAGACTAAAAGTTGAGTTTATCTGAGGTATAAACATCTGGAATAGCCATGTCTGAGCTGAGTGGGGGGGCAGAGGGGAATACTTGTCCTTTCAGTTCAAACCTTGGTTCAGAATCAGTGCTGGACATAATCAAAGACGTGGCTCCCGTATCTCCCGAAACTGTGGCCTGCAGTAAAATTATACCATGAAGTTGTGCGGTGAAGTTCAGGATATTATTTTTTTTGAATATTTAATACATAACATAACATATAAAAACTGGTATTATAACTATTTGTCAATGTGTTTTGGTAATTACCTGAGTAGATGGTGGTGGGTCCATGCTATTGCCAGCGATATTATAAATCTACAGAGCAAAACATCAACGTAGGGAGTAAAATATATACACTGATCTATGTTATAACATTATTTCCTTATCAAATATGTAATACATAGGCCCTACATATTCAGGCTGAGTTCTCCAAACAGAAAACACTGTGTTCCACCTTGTGATGTCATGTCATAGACAATGAGGGATCCAATGT